CCACCCAAAAAAAAAAAAAATGGCCCCAGGAGGCTGCTGGTCTAGGTAGGTACAGTTCAAGGGCCCCTCCTTCACTCTGAGGTCTGGGATGGGAACAGCAGCCTCCTCTATGGGCAGGGGGTGTGAGAGCTCCCAGAGCAGGTGCAGGAGACTCTCTTATTTCTGGGTGCTCTCCAATGTGCCCTCCCGTCTGGGCTCCATTTGCTCTCCAAGGGGAGGCGCTGATGGAATTCCCTTGGGCTCCCTGGGCGTATGAGAAAGTTGGTCCAGGCAGGAGGGGCTTCCCTGGGGGCTTCCCTTCCCTGCCAGCTCCTGCAGCCCCTCCCCGGGATCCCGCTGTGGGACTCCCTGGGGGGCAGCTGACTCATCCTCCAGCTGAGCGTGCACACGCGGCCCCCAGCGCCCAAGCTCCCCTCAGCCCAGTATGCTGTGATTTTCCACTCGGGCCATCTGATTGCTATTACGGCTGGAGAGGGGGGAATTCCTGGCTCCATAGTCTGCCAGGGGCCCCTGAAGATTCCGGGGTGGGGGGAATGGGGTGCCACCGGGGTGGCATGTCTTCTCTCTGCCAATTCCACTGCTCACAAGTACCCGCACCCACCCACGGCCCCCTCACTGTCCCCATCTTCTCTGCACCAGCCCCTCAGTACATTTAACAAAGGGCGTGAGCGCCGGCCCCTCCTGGGCCTGTACCCCCGAGATGCCCCCTCCCGGAGAGGACCACAGGCCCAAGTGGCAGCACGCGCCCTTCCCTGCCCGGCCTGGTTGAGCCATGGGGTGCGACCTCACAGCTGGACTCAGGCCACAGTGCTCGGGCCAATGTGACGTCACCAGGCGGAGCACTGAGCTCCCTGTGGGGCTCTGGGGGGGCTCTGAGCTGGGCATTCCTTCTCGAAGCCTCATCCCGCTCCACCCCCCTCCTCCCCTCCCCGCCCCTCCTGCCGGGCCTGGAATTGGGTTTGGGGCGGGTTCTGCCTCCAAAGCCGTCTCCTCCGCAGGCGAGGGCTCCTCCGTCCTGTCCCGCTGGGAGCTGCGTTTTCCAGGCTCAGGCGTGCTCCCTGCCTCCTGCCTTGGTGGGTTGGTCGGTCGGTGGCTGCAGTCCCAGGAGGACCCCACAAAGGGGAGGCCCCAGCAGACCAGGACAGGCACAGGTAACCACAGGGCCCAGCAAGCAGGGAGGGGTTTCCTAGGGACATTGGGAAGGTTCAAAGCCTCGCTCCTGTGTGTTTGGCCCGGACACTCAGGCAGTCTCTGTCTCCCCGGCCGGCCTCGCCCCCCGCCCCAAGCCACCCCCACTTCCAGGGCCTGCTCTGTCCCCCTGAGGGTGGGGGCTCCCCTTGCCCCTCCCCCAGCTCGGCCAACTGTCCAGGCTGCTCTCTTGAGGAGGACCAGGAGGAACACCCAGTGGGCAGAGGCCCAGGCCAGGGAGTGTCTCCCCACGGTTCACGCACGCCGGCTGCACCCCTCCTTCCACCAGTGCTGAGCACAGGCAGGACAGCTGGGGCCGGCGCTGGGGGACGGGACCAGCTTCAGCAGCCCCAGGGGTGGACAGCTGTGTTCCCACCTCCCAGGCAGAGGGTGCCTGGTGTGATGTTGGTTGGAGGCCGTGTGGGGGACGTTCCGGAAGGTCCTGCTTCCCCCAGATGCTGTTAGGTGCCCTCGAGTCGGTACCGACTCATAGCGACCCCATGTACAGTAGAGCAAAACTCTGCCCGGTCCTACCCCATCCTCACAATCGTTGTTATGATTGAGCCCGTTGTTGCAGCCACTGTGTCAATCCCCCAGACAACCCTCTGCAAATCCAATTGCAAGTGTGGGACGGGGGGACCCCAAGTGAAGAAACCGAGGCTCCCTCAGTGTCCAGGGCCAGGGGGGGATAGGCATGAGTCCCCAGGAAAGCCCTTGCTCTCAGGCCCAGGGGACAGCAGGGGCTGGGATGGTGACCAGAGCTGTACCATGAACTGGAGTCTGACAGTCCCCACCTCCTGGAGGGCAGCCTCACCCGGGCCCCGGAGAAGTACAGGTCAGGGTAGGGGTGGAGGTACAAGGGGGTGGAAGACAGGTGGTCAGGAGCCACCTGGGCTTGGGTTTTAGGGAAGGGTCAGGTAAGCTGAGTGGGCAGCATTTTGTCTGCTTTGGTAGAAGCTGTCCTAGCCCCCTCCCATCCCAAGGAGCACACGCACTCACACGCTCGTCACACATCACTTCACACATCACACACGCCACACACATGTCTTTTCATACAGCCCATCTGGGGCCCACTTGGCTTCTAGATCTTTCAGTACACGAGTGACGTCGCTTTTCAGATGGTCCTTGCAGGACAAGGATGAGGGGCACAGGAACACCCCACAGGGAGTCAGTCAGCCGGGAGGTGGGCTCCAAACCTCTGCACGGTGGGGGAGGCCGAAGCCTCCTGCCCCTGGGAGCATCTGTGGAGTTGGGGGGCAGGGGTCTAGCCTGGATGAGAAAGCTCTATCAAGGCCTCCCTTCGGGGTAGTGTGAGCAGCAGGAAGGGCCACCAAGGACAGTCCGTTTAGTGGGGGCCAGGAAGGATGAGGGTGACGGGGGAAGTATAGGGGTATAAGGCAGGAGGGAAAGCTTAGAGGAGCCCCAGAGTGGGCGAAACATCAGGCCTGCCTGTGGCAATGAGACAGGAGTCCCTTGGTGGCACAAACAGTTAAGCGCTGGACTATTAATGGTTCCAACCCCCCCAGAGGTGCCTCGGAAGAAAGGCCTGGCAATTTGCTTCTGAAGGGTCACAGCCTTGAAACCCTATGGAGCAGTTCTACTCTGCACGCGTGGAGTTGCCGAGAGTCTGAATTGAAGGTATCGGGTTTGTTTTTTTGTTTTTTTTTTGTGGTAATGGGACAGTGGCCTAACTAGAGTCAAATGGGGCCGCGGGCACGCGGCTAAGGATACACAGTTCAGGACGCCCTCTGTCTGCAATTGTCCACGCATCAGGCACTCACTTATCCCCCCGCACGAGGGCTCCCAACCCCGCCTGGCCACCCTGTGCACCGCAAGGGCCCCCACGCGGAGTCGCCCGCAGGCCGGGCACCCACGGCGCCTGCAAACGCCCAGAAGGCGCGGGGCCACCGTCCGACTGCACCGAGCCCCGCGGCCCCGCGGGCAGGCCCGGGCCGCACCGCCCCCACCAGCTCGGGAAGGCCGAGGGTTAACGAGGGGGTGGGCCCGACCCGGAACAGCCATCCTTTCCAGCCAATGAGGAGCGAGGCTGTGAGGGCACCGCCCCCGGCCGGGAGGAG